ACATCATACAGAGATTTCGTAATTTTATTGATACTTAATTTGGAAAACTGGTAACTAACGCCATCTATCGAAAAAATATTGAAGTACTACGACCACTTTCTACTTTCTTCGATATTGGAGCATTGCGCCAGTGGCGCCGCCACCTCGCTATTGTGTGATGGTGGCGGAAGCATGTACTAATGCGTAGCCGGTACAATTTGCTTGTTTTCTCGTGCTGATGTTGGATTTTTTTTTTGTTAGGTTGGTAATTTCTATACAACTGCAAAAGCACTGCTTCTTCGTTATCCGACTAATTTAAGAAGTCAACAAAACGTAGCGTTTGTTGATTGAAAATAGATATATTAATTTTGGTCAACTTATTGTTTACGTTTTTTTTGGCCATTTTGTTTTGGTTATGTTTTTATGTGCAAGTGAATAAATTGTAATGTAATGAATTATAATTTAAATGAACTGTTAATTTACCGAAAATTATGTAAAATTTTAGCTGTGAGCTCTATGCTGGTGATTTGTGTTGTTCAATAAATTCAATATGAGTGCGTTGTCCTTATTGTCGTTCGAAGAAGAAACGAAAATATTTCCAAAGGCGATTTTGCGCGTGTCGTATGTCCAGGCTAGGCGTAACTCAAAAAAGGTAATAATTATGTTATTTCTTTTAATAAACTACGATTTGCGATTATAGGTATAGTTTGTTAGCACTGGTTGTGTACCAATTTCATTATTGTTTTTATAATCCAGTCATCTTGATCTCGCTTTGTACGATTTTTCTATGCATTTAACGGTCAGTTTATACTGGTGTTGCATAGCTTGATGTGTAACCATTTGTACTTCGCCGCTCCAAAGTAGGTACCTACTTAATAGATTTGTAAAATAGATACCTAGGTATCTATGTTGATCAACTTTATACACGGATAGTTTGAAAATAATTATGTACCTAATTTGTTTATACAAATTAATAAAATAAGTCCTTACTAAACCTAATTACCTACTCAAAATTATGATGTTTCGGGAGTTTCATTTTCCAAAATTAATGTCGACCAAATTTTTTTTAATCATGTGATACCTTCTGCCTACCCTACTTCAAATCTCTGTGCACGCCTCTGGTCCAAGGTCTTGGGTTCAATGACCTAAGAACATCGGTTGTCTATGAAATACAAATTGCATAATGTCAACAACTAGAATACACTGATTGCAATATTGTACTAATAAAATAATGTTATGTTATTTCTTTGAATCTATTTGCACCATAATATGTTTGTAATAAAGTCGAAAATCTATTGACATGAAGTCGTTTGCGATAGCTTGATGTGCATCGCTGTACATACCACCTAATTAAGATTTTTTATATGATTTCTGCCTACTCCCTAATGAAATAACTACCGTAACATAGCGTTGAGTTAAATGCATTAAACTGTCAAACACCAAGCGGTCACCGATGACCGCAACCTATTGTTCTATAATTGTGTCTATAATGATGGTACTCGACGAGTTAATCCACACATCTGGCAATCACTCTCGAGAATCGGATAACTTTCACCTCCGCGTAACTTTAACATGGCATTTTATGACATAATCTATGTGTGTTAAGATTCAATTTGCATTGTAGATGTTTTCTGTTGATACCGGTTCGTGAGAAAGTGTTTTTTGTGTCCGGTATTTTGTTGTATTTCCGTATCTTTGACAGAAGTGACGATTGGTTACCGTATTCCAATGTAATAAGGTTTAAAATTAAGCCTTATATATTGCAATGGCTTCGCCTCTTATTATGAGACTCCTATGTCCAGTTACAAGTCCCTACGATGGGATTTATTAATGGACTAACGTAGATGTTACCCGGAATAGTCCACTGCTATAGAAATCTCCAAGTGCGGCAAGCAGGTTAGATGTAACATAACATCACGCCTTTTATCCCCGAAGGGGTAGGCAGAGGTGTACATTATGTACAATGTAAACCCACTTTTCACTATTTATGTTATGAGTCCCATGTAATAGAGGGTGAGTCTATTGCCATATTCCAATTCCATATCCAATTCCAGACTCCGTGCTACTACTGAGAATTTTTAAAAAACCCAGTAATAATTTGCCCGACCCGGGAATCGAACTCGAGACCCCTTGCGACCACTCGGTCAAAGAGGCAGCCAAAGAGGTTAGATGTCGCGGTTTAAATAGTTCAAATGCTTCCCGGTCTCTGTCAAATGCATACCGATTATAAAAAAGCCATAACGTTTGTTCATACAAAAGTAGTCTCTAAACATCGGGAACTAGGTCTATAATGGAGTAAGTGGAGAGCAGTGACCGCTTGGGCAGTACTCTTCGTCGGATCGGATCCTATACACCGCGGACAGTGTTGGGCAAAATTTAGTTAACTAATGATTGATGACTAATGATTGAATGTGTTAGTTATGATTGATGACTAATGATTATTTAGTTTAATCACGAGGTGATGACTAACGATTGATTAGTTTTAATCTTAATCAAATAATCATGATTATTTATTTATGATTGATATTTTAATACGAGGTAAGGTAAAATATTTTTTCTGCTTCTTAAAAAAATACTGAATTGGACACAAAACGTTACTGTAGGTTAGGTTAGACTTTAGTGTTTTAGTTTAAAATTCAGTATTTTTTGGTGGTCAGATAAATAGATGCCCTGGTAAAATCTTATGATACGGAGAAATGGTTTTCAGTATAACGGGGTTTTTTGTAACACCTTCTATAACTTTAGTAGTTTTTAGGGTCCCGTACCTCATCTGACTGTAATCATGTAATTTATTACTTGTTTTTCGAAAAGTAAATGATGTCATCGTATTGCTTTAACGATTATAAGACTAACTAAATTACACTTGTATTATTTTATTTATTTATTAATCATCTCAGTGTAACTGTATTGAACTTTATAAAAACAAATAATATATTTAAGAAAGCTATATAATATAGGGTGTAAAGGATGGCTTACCAAAGTAAAACCATGGACTCAGATCATCATCCTAAGTAACGGACCGAAGGAATTTTTTCTCGGAAAAGAAAAAATTTTGGCCTTTCTATACATTATATTCTATTAGCAGCCGACTTTAATATTTTGTATGCAGAGTCAAAAATTTTTTTCATTTCCGTACCTAATTCCTTCAGTACTTTACTCAAGATAATGGTCTGAGACTTCGGTCAGCTGATCCTTATACCCTGTATGTATAGTGTACCAACACCTGTGCATCGAGCTTAGTCATACATTCATGATTAAAACTAATGATTGGTGATTTGCGATTAACGAATTTAGTCATGACTAATGATTGTTCTCGTTAGTTATGATTAAATTAGTCATGACTAAATTAATCATGATTAGATCAATCATGATTGATCAATTGATTGAATAAATTAGTTGATTTGCCCAACACTGACCGCGGAGAACCTAACGGGTAACCGGGGCTCTGGCTCGACGTGCAGGAGAAGGAACGGGGTGGTTTTTAGTCAGTAAGACTCTGACACTCTCTTCCGCCTCACTCAGGCGGGAGCAGTCATTCGATGATTTTCCCCCCTTAAAAAAAAATACACCCAACCGATGAGCATAGATGATGGCAAATGCATTCTACTCTAACATTACCTAATGATTAAACAGCTAAAGCTGATAATTCATTCCAAACACCACTTAATTACGGAATCATTTCATAACATAATACATACATACGAACGAGGTATCGTAGAAATTATGCTAAAACTGCACTATTCATGTTGATTCAGCATTATTCCACGAATATTTAGCTTATCCCAAATCCCGCTGAGTTGGGATCAAAATGGGTTCACAATATTTGCAGATGTCCGATTGAAAGATAGTCGGAAAGGTTTGGCTTTTTTTATTAAACTAAGTTAGGTTTGATGAGAATGAGTGGTGGAAATGAAAATGGGTTTTATTTTATTCTTTTTACGGGATAAGCCAGTAAACGAGCAGATGGATCACCTGATGGTAAGCAATCGGCGTCACCTATGGACACCTGGAACACCAGAGGCGTTACAAGTGCACTACCGGTATTTTCAGAAGTAGGAATTTGAGGATTGTTGGAGATTCAGGGATTGAGGAGATTGGGGAAGGAGGGAGGGGTAATTGCGCCTCCATATTCTAATTTAGGCTGATTTTGCGGTTTTTAACATGGTTATGACCTCATTGTCGTAAGAACACTGGCAAAAAATAGAATACTATTACCACTAATATTTAGACAAGATAAAACCCAACATGTTGTTGTGTGTTCGACTATATGTACGTTAAAGTAGGAAGTGTTTTCATATTTTTAAGTTATCCTTTACTATGCACTATTTAGATATTTTGAATACGTATTGTTTTTTTTTACATAAGGTTTTCTCTTGTTGCAGTGGTTACGGGCTGCACCGATGGTATCGGCAAGGAATACGCTAGACAGGTAATTAGAATAAATATTAATAATATTTGTATTGTAACTTTTGTGAGACATACTAAATAAATTATTATGTTTTCGGCTTACTCACGTAATAATTTGACGAGGACCTCGACTAGTTTCAAGCCATGCTAGATTGACAGCTAGCAGCTCATATTCATGAGCAGCATTTCGCAACCCGCGACGCGGCGACTGTCGCGCTGCTACTCTACAGTATACCGCCGAAAACATAATAATAATAATTAATAACATTATTATTTATGAATCTGACACTCCCTCTCATCTCACCCGGGCTAGAGCAGTCATTGGATGAAATTCCCCCAACAAAAAGACATCAGTCGCTCTGTGTATATGACTGATTTTAAACAAAATCTAGTTATAACTCAATACCTAATCAAGAGGACATAATTTTCCAATAATTTAATGCTCAGTTATGTTAGGAATCCGGGTTAATTTGGTGATTTGGATAACCAATCATTATGACTGTGGTAGAACCTAATTTCAGTTTATTAGCTCGACAGTCGCCCTTGCAACCTTTTAAACTCTATTTAGATTCCATTTCTTTTGTGTTGGCATAAGCCGGTAAACGAGCAGACGGATCACCTGATGGTAAGCAATCGGCGTCGCCCATGGACACCTGGAACACCAGAGGCGTTACAAGTGCGTTACCGGCCCAAAAGGGATTAGAAATTTGAGGTTTGTAGGGACTCAGGGGTTGGGAAACGGGGGAGGGGTAATTGGGCTTCCGGTATCCTCACTCACGCGACGAAACACAACGCAAGCGTTGTTTCACGTCGGTCTTTTGTCCTTTTTATTTTATTATAGCCTATTTAGGATTTTTCTAGATCAGGTACAAGATGAGGTCAAGAAAGACAAACTTTATTTTACCTAAGTACTTAATTATACGAGCGAAGTAAATATCTACCTAATGAATTACTAAACAGTATTTTTCGAAGTTTTCGCCTTAGGTACTATGAATTTTGATAAATTTAAGTGTCAAACTTTTAAAACTTAATTATAAATAGATGGGCCCTAGGTGTTAAAGGTATTTGTAAATATTTTGTTAAAGTATGTTGTTTTTTTAGTAAAGTAAGTAAGTGTTGTAAGTTTTTTAGAGGTGAAATTGCTAAGCAATCTATTTTGCTTACTTATAGAAGATAAATGAAGGACAAAGCTAAGTTCACATAATATTCACTGCATGGTGTAGGTACCTGCGATTACTGCACTAATCGATTCTTTGTATAATTACAATGTTAAGTATTATGTACTCGGGTAACTGTTTGACGAGAAATTAGTAGTTTCGACTAATTTCATGAAGATGCTAAATCATGGCTTGCAACTAGTCATGAGCCTCTAGCATGGTTTGAAACTAGTCGAGTTCCTCATCAAACAGCTTTACATGAGTAAGCAGAAAGCAAAATAATTTGTTTAGTATGTCTGACGAGAGTTCCAAAAATTATTGTACCGGGTATTTTATATAAATAAGTGTTTTTAAATATAGGGTATGACTTAGGAGAAAATTGTAGTTTTGGGTCAAAATGAAAAACATAAATAAATGCATTGTACTATTTTTCGTTCGCGCTGTATTCTTCGCTAACACTTATCTACAAGTATCTACTAACACGTAATTAAATTTGTATTTTGTCGAACCCAAGAAATAAAAAGGTCTGCTAAAAGGCAGTCAAAGTCAAAGTCAAAGCATTTTTGAAACGTCAACAAATACAAAATAGATAATAGTCTGTCAGTCAGTCCGTCAGTGAAGCTAGGTGAAGCTAGGTGCTCATTCCAAAATGTAGATTCGAATGGAGAAGAACGAGCAAGAAACTCCATTCGTTACTTAGTCTTCATTCAACTAACAAGGTACAGATAACTACCTACGTATGATTAAAAAAAACACTAGTCTAATACAAATTCTAGTTTACGTCGATGAAATAAATATTTATATATCAAAGTAATGTATATTTGCATTGCTATTCATATTCTGACGTAAATACCTTTATGTGTTTGTAAGTAAATACGTACCTATGTAAAAACGCTGATCAATACATTAATTGTTCGTTCTAATCTCTGGAACTAGCATGCGGTACTATAACCTATTTATTGTTTTTTAAACAACTTCAAAAAGGATTTTCTTAATTTGGTTGCTGGCTGTATGTATCCTACTAGGTACTAGGTACCTCGGCTATAACGTAACGAGTTTCATCGAAATCCTTTTATTGGTTTTTAGATACGTAAAACTATAGTTTTATAGAGGTATATTATATTATACACTACTAAAATAGATACATAAATCCTTACACACTTTTGTATTCATTATATAAGTAGGAATGTAGGATGTACAGGCCAGGGCATTTTTTTTTTTTTTTTAGGGGGGAAAATCATCGAATGACTGCTCCCGCCTGGGTGAGGCGGGAGGGAGTGTCAGACTCTTACTGACTAAAAACCACCCCGTTCCTTCTCCTGCACGTCGAGCCGGAGCCCCGGTTACCCGTTAGGTTCTCCGCGACTCCGAATACAGGCCAGGGCATAAATAGCATTAGTCGTATCATTATTAAATTAATTTCTCTTAAACACTCTCTTTACTGTATCCATCTTTATTTTCTTACTTTTTACCTTTTTTATGGTATGGTGTTGTAAATAAAGTAAGCGTAGTAAATAGGATGTCTCGTTGGCCGACTGATCGACTGATTAAAAAAAAAATGTAGTATATAGCTACACAGCTATTTACAGCTACAAAGCTTATAGGTACATGCTTTACATCAATTAAAGGTATGGTGTACTATATATTTAACCAACTTGAAGATTACTTAATGCGTCAGTAGTCAAACCAATAACAATTACATCAATTGAAGCAGTTACTTCTCAGTAATGTATTCTAATTTAAGTCTATAGATCTACATAAATACTGTAAGATTACAAGCCAGTAGCGTGCCTATAAATTAATCTTTATACTTATATAATTCACTTGAATAATTTGTTATGACAATTGGCCTCCTTTGTTGGTCGAGTCGCAAGGGCGACTGTCAAGCAATAATATGTTCTGTTGCAGTTAATTAAAAAAATTTCTGTCGGAATGTGAGCCAGAATAGAAAACACATTGCGTCTCGCGTATGTCTACGTTCCGGGATACCAGGAGTTAATCTGGGCGCTCACTCTTGGAACCAATCTCAATGTCAATGCAATTTCAATTCATTAAGATCTAAATAATTATTCAATGTCAAAACTATACAACCCCTATCGTAGCTGTTAAATTGCATTCACACTACGGAATTCAATACCGTTTAGTTCATTCAGTATCCACGCAATACAGATGCAAAAGGCGCTAGTGTTGCAACTCAAGAGTATGAAATTTCACAATGTCAATCGATCGGAATTGGATTCAAGACTAAACCTCCTGATCTTTCCTAAATAGATTTTGTTTACAAAGTCTTCCTCAGCCTTATCCACATGTACGGCACATCTCGTTCCGCGCGCGCCTCTAAGAGCCATCAGACCACCATGAATAGGGCCCAATAGGGCTGATGCGATACGGAGCCGCAGAGGACTTAACGGGTTGCCGGGGCTCCGGTTTGAAGTGCAATAGTAGGAACGGGGTGGTTTTTAGTCAGTAAGAGTCTGACATGCCTCACCCAGGCGGGAGAAGTCATTCGATGATATTTCCGCCTTCAAAGCAGTCTTGGCTAAGATTTTAAATAGATAGAAAGAAAAAACTTGAATTCACACGCTATAAACACGTATCCTTATCCTTATACTATCCTTATCCTTATCCTTATCCTTATCCTTATATCCTTATCCTTATACTATTATAAATGGGAAAGTGAGTTTGTTTGTTTGTTCCGACTTCACGCCGTAACTACTAAACCGATTGCATTGAATTTTTGCAGACGTAAACTTAGTAGTCTGGATTAAATAATAGGGTACTTTTTATCCCGAAAAAAATTGATATTCCCGAGGGAAAACAAAAGTATTGGTATAGATGGCGTTGTATGTATTGGTATATGTCACATAGGCTACTTTTTATCCTTTTGTGTCGCGAGCGAAGCCGCGGGTAAAAGCTAGTACAGATATAAGATACATACAGATTAAACATATATAGTTTATAAATACTAATGGGTACAATACAATGGGTATTTATGTCCAAGTATGCGGTGAAATGGGACCAGTTCAGCATGTGCAAGACAGGGCCTTGCACTAGTACTACCGCCCCCTTGTACTAAATGAAATGACTGACCATTAGCGTTAGAGATTAATTTTTAAATTACACCCATTTTTATTGATTTATGTAATGTGTTCCTTTTATTACAGTTGGCCGCTGCAGGCTGTGATATCGTTCTAGTCAGCCGTTCTATGGAGAAGCTGCAGGCAACTGCGCAGGAAATAGGTAAATTCTTATGAAACATAGTTACTTATACTTTTATTATTAAGTTACAAAAAATCTGGTCGCATTGCAATATAATATTTGACATTTGACTATATATTTATAATGAACCAAAATAACTCCAAATACCATCGACGTGCAGGAGAAGGAACGGGGTGGTTTTTAGTCAGTAAGAGTCTGACACTCCCTCCCGCCTCACCCAGGCGGGAGCAGTCATTCGATGATTTTCCCCCCTTAAAAAAAAATACCATGTGACTTGTAATTTACCATATCGGTTGTCGGTCATACGGCTCCTGATTAAGAATCCTTGTCGTGCTTGAAATTAGTCGAGTAGCCTCGTCAAGCAGTATATAAAACATACATAACATCACGCTTTTTATCCCCAAAGGAGTAGGCAGAGACACCCACTTTATATAAAACAATTAGGAAATAAACCATGTTGTTACAGAAACGGAATTCAACGTCGCCACGAAGATCATCCAAGTGGATTTCACTGCTGGTGATGAGATCTACCAAACTATTGAGAAGGAAATAGCTGGTCTCCAGATTGGGACCCTCGTGAACAATGTGGGCATCTCCTACTCCTACCCTGAATACTTCTTGGACTTGGTTGAAATGTGAGTACTTTTATATTCTTACGTAAGTCGTAGAGTGTAGTTGACTGCATAGATGGCGCAGTGGTTGGGTGGCCAGTCGCTGTGCAACGTGTCGCAGGTATAAGTTGTGGGAGAGCCATGCTTTGGTACGAATGGGCCAGCTCGATAGGAGTCCACGGCCGAGCAGAAAACCGACACTTGCGTTGTGTTTCGTCGTGTGAGTGAGATTACCGGACGCCCAATTACCTCCTTCCCCAGTCTCCCCAATCCCCGAATTCCCAACAATCCTCTTATTCCTAAAGCCTAACAGGCCGGTAAAGCACTTGTAACGCCTCTGGTGTTTCAGGTGTCCACGTGCGGCGCCGGTTGCTTACCATCAGGTTATCCGTCTACTCGTTTACAGACTTATCCTTAATTATTTATAATGGGGATGATGACAGGGTATGAAAATTAAAAATATAATTAGTCCGTAACTTAGGTAATAAAAAAATATTAGACACGTATTTTTTTATTTTGTTGTATAATAAAACAATACTTAGATAAAACGAATCAAAGTTTAGGAGTGGGGGCTAAAACGTCATTTCTTAGTATAAAATGTACTGAGAAGTGACGTCACGCGACATTTCAAATCAATATATCTTCGAAACTATTCGTTTCCGTAAGAAAATAAAAAATACGTGTCTAATGTTTTTAAATAATCTACCAGACGGACATTAAAATAAAAATTAGTCGTCTACCCCAGTAAAATCATTAAAATCACATAATTCATACGTATATCCTTAAATTAGCTACTTCTGCGCGGTTTTACACGCTCTGCTCAGCTCCTATTGGTCGTAGCATGACGTTTTATAGCCTTCCTCGATAAATGCGCTATCTAAAACAAAAAAGAATTATTCAAATCAGACTTGTAGTTCCGAAGATAAGCGCGTTCAAACAAACAAACTCTTCAGCTTTATAATATTAGTATAGATGTTAATGGGGAAAACCCAATTTTACTTCTTACCTCCAAAGATTCCACTACACCATAATAAAACAGGCAGAACGCGTTGTTCATTCAAAAAATTCCAATTTTCACTAGTTATGTGACAATTTACGAATTTCTAAACCTCAATATGACGGCCATGGCACCCGTTTTATCCCACTTGACAGGTTAAATGCCAGGAATACCGAAAGCTTTGGTTTTCAATGGCGTCGAACAGGGATTTCAGAATGTCAGATTGGTATCTTATATTGACTACCTTCTCGTTTTGAATGGAATATGTTGTACTAGCTGAGCCCGCGACTTCGTCACCGCGAATAGTGATTCACAGTTCCTTCCCCGTTGTTGATAGTATGTAGCCTATATGTTGTCCCGACCTGAGGCCTTAGTACGAGTTTCATTTACGTATAAAGTAATAGTATCGAGTAAGCGTTCGGCGCTCTGATTGGTTGGTTCTTTGGTGCCGGCCAATCAGAGTGCCGAACGCGTACTCGTTTCGAATACTTTAAACGTAAATGAAACTCGTACTAAGGCCTCTGTTAGTAATATTCATGCAAAATTTGAACTAAACCAAGCAGCACTTTGAGTTCATAAACCATATTTTTGGTTTGGGTATCGACTGTAGATCACGCCCAAAGCATTCTTTTAAATAAATATTCGATGTACAGCCTGTACCTGTACATCGGGTACCTGTACCGTACAGGTTTCACTTTCCTACGATTTTATTATACGTATAGATGTCGCGGAGAACCGACGAGTAACGGGTAACCGGGGCTCCGACTCGACGTGCAGGAGAAGGAACGGGGTGGTTTTTAGTCAGTAAGAGTCTGACACTCCCTCCCGCCGCACCCAGGCGGGAGCAGTCATTCGGTGATTTTCCGCCCTTAAAAAAAAAAAATATTTGTATAGATAACGTGTTCAATGTGAAAATAAAAAAAATAACCTAATACAGTATTAGACAAGCGCTAAATGGCATTTGGCTACAGCTGCTGACCCTTTAGCCAAACGCCACTACAGAGAGAGTATGAAATATGGCGACTTTAATGATTTTTACAGACCTCAATCTAAGTTTTGGAGCTATTATATCCGTTTTTTTATTTAGCCGGTAAACGAGCAGACGGATAACCTGATGGTAAGTAATCGGCGCCGCCCGTGGACACCTGAAACACCAGAGTCGTTACAAGTGCGTTACCGGCCTTTTAGGGGTTAGGAATTAGAGGATTGTTGGGGATTCGGGGATTAGGGAGATTAGGGGGTAATTGGGCGTCCAGTAACATCACTCACACGACGAATCACAACGCAAGAGTCGGTTTTCTACTCGGCCGTGGACTCCTCTCGAGCCGGCCCATTCGTGCTACTATAAAAGTTATAATGCGTAACGTATTAACACTCGCAGCTTCGTCACGACTTTATAAATAACAATTGCGAATTCTTCTAAACTGAAACGTTCTACTCCAAAAGAAACTGTTACGTTCAAAGGACTTAATATAGCAATTGCAATAATATTGACTTACTATTTATCCGTTTGAAAAATTAACACTTATAATGCGTCAAAAGATGAGTTCATATTAGGTCATCATACGAATGATAATATCGAAATATTTACCCAAGAGCTAGTAAGGAAGCACGAGTCAAAATGTCTGTACAGTTAGGTTTATTGACCCTTAAATGAACAATGTGTATGTAACATAACATCACGCCTTTTTTCTCCGAAGTTATTTTTTTTTAAGGGTGGAGAATTATCGAATGACTGCTCCCGCCTGGGTGAGGCGGGAGGGAGTGTCAGACTCTTACTGACTAAAAACCGGGGTGGTTTTTAGTTCCTTCTCCTGCACGTCGAGCCAGAGCCCCGGTTACCCGTTAGGTTCTCCGCGACATCCCCGAAGGGGTAGGCAGAGGTGCACATGCCATTGTACAATGTAACACCCACTTTTCACTATTTATGTTATGAGTCCACCTTGCTTGGCAACCGGTTGCCCAACCACCGCACTAACCATGTTGTCAATTACATTTCATAAAGAGAAGATGAAGACGAATTCATCGTCAAATTCGATATTTACCTGAACAACGCCACCAGAAAAGCCAATTTTATATCTCAACGTCAACAACTCAACACAAAGCTCTAGAAATATCTTTTGAGAAGCTATCAAATGCAACTTCATAGAGAATAATATCGGCGCCAGCTATCAAAGTACGCGACGCCAATCGTTGGCAGTTCACCTCGAGTAATATTGCGGAAAAGTTGAACATTTGTGAGTTGAATGCAATCCCGTCGGTTCCATACCGCGCGTGTTATTGCGGGGTTGAAATATTTTTGCAATTGCAATTGATACGAGATTATTTCTGACGTGGGTTTTTGATATTGCCGTGAATTGCGATTTAGATCTGAGTTTTTGGAGTTTGGTATGTTTTTCGTATAGTAATTTCTGACTGCCTCATTGGCCGAGTGGTCGCAAATGCGACTGCCGGGCAAGGTGTCTCGAGTCCAATTTCCGCTTGGGCAAAGTATTAATGGGTTTTTAAAAAATATCAGTAGTAGCACGGAGTCTGGAAATGTGCCCGGTATATGCCAATAGGCTCACCCCCTATCATAACATAAATAGTGAAAAGTGGGTGTTGCATTTTACAGTGGCATAATGTGCACCTCTGCCTACCCCTTCGAGAATAACAGGCGTGATGTTATGTTATGTAATGTCTCTGTTAGGAAACTGTGACACCTATGTGGAAAGTTTTAGGCCCTTATCATAAAAGTGGGATGCGAAAGTCTGCAAAGAGGTGCGGGCCCGTAACGAATTCACTATGGACGCGCAACGATATCGCCGCGAACAACAAATCGGACGCCATTATTGTATGGCGATAATTAAAGTCAATAGCCTGGATTTAAAGAAATGCAGTTAACCTTCACATTTATTTTGACCTTTCACTTTAATTATTCCCTTAAAAACAACACGACTTTACTGACCTCTGAATGTTTCAAGTGTTAAAAACAATAAAATAATTAAAGTAAATATTATTAAAGAAAAAAAGTTTTATTATAACACTGTTAACGGCTGCCTCGTTGGCCGAGTGGTCGCAACTGCGACTGCCGGGCAAGGAGTCTCGGGTTCGATTCCCGGGTCGGGCAAAGTATTACGGGTTTTTTAAAAGTCTCAGTCGTAGCACGGAGTCTGGAATTCTGTCCGGTATATGGCAATAGGCTCATCTCCAATAGGGGGTGTAATGTAATGTGTAGTGCTATGTTATTACATAGCACTACACTCATCACTCATAACATAAATAGTGAAAAGTGGGTGTAACATTGTACAGTGGCATAATGTACACCTCTGCCTACCCCTACGAGGATAAAAGGCGTGATGTTATGTGATGTTATTTTATGAAATAATTTATACATTCATACATATATTATTATGTGTATAAAATAGATTCAATAATGAATATAGGACAAGTTACATTAATATAACGTTTACGTCGTTTCAAGCAACACGTGTAGAGGTATAAGTATAAAACCAGTTTATTAAAAGCAGGAAAGGGTAAATCTACTTCAAGTTTTAAACAAATAACATATCTTTTTGTTCTATAAGGAAGTATACCAGTTAATTTATTTTTAGTTTTATTTGTTTGGTAGGTATCCTAATTTATCCTGTAGGTACTAGCTGCTTCCGCAGTTGCACTCGCCCTGCTCGGCTCCTATTGGTCGTAGAGTTTTTTATAGCTTGTTGCGTTCCTTGATAAATGGACCAAAAGAAAAATAAATATTCAATACGGTAGCTGTCTAATTTTTACCCGACTGCCAAAGAAGGAGGGTAATGTTTTTATTTTAATGTCCGTCTGGTAGAGTATTTTAAATCATTAGACACGTATTTTTAATTTATTACAGAAACGAATACTTTGGACAATATACTGAATTGAAATGTCGCGTGACGTCACTTCTATGTACATTTTATACGAAGAGAAATTATGTTTTAGCCCCCACTTCTATACTTTGATTCGTTTTATCAAAGTATTGTTTTATTATACGATAAAAAAATACGTGTCTAATATTTTTACATTACCTAACTTATGGACTAATTAGATTTTTAGTTTTCATGCCCTGTCATCATCTCAATTGAGACAGTAGTTACGGAGGTTAAAGCGTTCAAACAAACAGACAAGCTATGTTTTTATAATAACTGTCTTGAGACATACTAAATTAACTTCAACTCGCGGTAACCCGCGAGTTGAAGTGAGTTGAACCTGTAGGCTGCGTGACATCGCCGCGGCCGCGCACGATGCTCAAGAGGAAGGAACTCTCTGTGGTTCGAAACTAGTAGAGCTTTTCTCAGTATATACACGTGAGTAACCCGCGAGTTTTAGTTAGCAAATAAGCTCTTCAAATTTTTATAATAAAAAAGTATAAGGATGTTTGTTCGGGATGAGTAAAGTATGTCGATTATTGGGTTTTTAACTCTCCAAGGAACAGATCGCGAAGCATAAGATGTTTAACCGCTTGTATGCACTGATATGAGACACAATAGAAAATACATTGTGTGCGCTGCCGGCATTTTGGGGATTAGGAGTTTGAGGATCGTTGGGGATTCAGGAATTGGGGAAATTGGGGAAGGGGAGGGTAATTGGGCCTCCAGTAACCTCACTCACACGACAAAACACAACGCAAGCGTTGCTTCACGTCGGTTTGCTGTGAGGCCGTGGTATCACTCCGGTCGAGCTGGCCCATTCGTGCCGAAGCATGGCTCTCCCACACTTGCTCAAAAATGTAACGTCTGTCGATACGCAAGCATGCCTGAAATGAGCATGCTGATTTTGAGCAACATTCCGACACACATGGTATTAAGTGACAAGTGCTCCATTGAAGCATGCTTTCAATCATGCTTGAAACTAGCATATATGTATCTTCATGCATGTAGGGAGTAAAGTAATGAGTCTATTACCATACCATGGGCACAGTCTTAGAATCCATAATTATAAACCCAACTTTGTAAATTAAGCCTGAAACCAGAGGTTTCAGGCTTAGGCTTAGGCTGAGGGTTTCTGACCACTCGACTAATAATTTATATTTTTTTCCAATTTGATAGGAACAAGGTCTTCGAAAAGCTGTTGAAAGCGAACATCGTGTCGGTGACTCGTATGACCCACATGGTGTTGCCAGCCATGGTGGCCAGGGAGAGGGGTATCGTTATCAATATTGGGTCCGCCTCATCCATCATCCCCAGCCCTATGCTGACTGTTTATGCTGCTACCAAGGTTGGTGATTTTTGGTTAATAGAATTGTAGAGGATTAGAAAAAAGAAATGAAGGTTCTGATGCAAAGAGTTTTATTAGAATGCAATAATTTTTTCTTTAGCATTACACTCAGTTCTTGATTAGGTAAGATTTCAATTACCTAATTCTAAAGAAAAAGTTTTGATCCGTAACCATATTATTTGCTACACAATATACATTATGCGTAACTAAATGATCTTCCTTAGAGCGAGTCGTGCAAATATCGAAACACCCTTTTCTCTTGCAGGCTTACGTTGACAAGTTCACCGAAGGCTTAGACATGGAATACTATAAGAAGAACATTCTTTTCCAATGCGTCATGCCTGGATTCGTTTGTTCCAACATGTCAGGTATCCGTAGGAGCTCTCTCTTCGCTCCCAGCGCCAAAGACTTCGTCAGATCTGCCCTCAGCCTCGTCGCTGTCGAAAAAAGGACTCCAGGCTACTATCCTCATGAATTCTTCGTTCACTGCCTGAATATCATATCAAAGTCTTCGTATCACTTTGGAGTATGGATGGTCACCAAGTCCATGCAGAACAGCCGTCTGAAGTGCCTCAAGAAAATGAAAAGACAGTAAATTGGTTTTTGTCTCTGGTATATTTGGGGGTCTCTTATTCCGATAACTCGAATGTCTAACGCTTTTCTCTTTTGCTTTTCTCTGACTTCGTTGTAGTTAGAGTGACGTGATGTTCTTATAACCTGTAGTGATTGAATGTCACGTCATAGGTGAACTTTCTATGCTTTTTCTTGCGCCGTATTACAAGGCAATCTGCGTTTTGGAAGTCTGTGGTCTATAGGATAGAATCAGGCGTTACTTTACGGAGATTCACGCTACAACAACTGGGAAAATATTGAGGTGTTTATTCCGCTGAAGGTATTATTAATCTGCAGTATGCAGTATACAGCACCACCCTCAGCTACGCTCATGCAGCAGAGACACGCAACAAATCACTCGAACTACACTCGTCATATGTTTCGCTCCTCCACGGAGCATCCTCAGGAGTTGTTGACTAAATCGGCTTCGAGGTGCAGGAGCAGCCTTCAGTGGAATGAAAACGAAATATTTTCCCAGTTGTTAGTGTAGTCTATACAAGGCGTTGTTTCAAAGCCACGTCATTTTCTAGGAGGTAATTCAGCTATCGATTCTGTGTCCGAATCAATAAAAAATTGTTGGTAAATATTTTTCATTTTTCTGAAATAACAGAAATCCGTAAGTGCGAAGTACATGCCGCCGTCTTGTAACTAACTTTATAACGCGGCTTAATACATACAAACTCAAACACGTAATTGATTATTCCCAATTCCATAAAACTCCAATAAGAAACATTGCTGTCGCTTATTCTGAAATACTGTCGAACTTAAACGATTTATTATAGCCGAATTTTAACTATTGGCCCGAAATTTTCTCTTACATTGAACCTTTATGACTTCTGTGACATGCCCCCGAGAAATGACACGGCTTTAAAACTACACCTTGCATGTAGCCTATTTCAAGAGACGATCAAAATGTAGTCTGCCTGATATGGGGAACCTTTTTAACCAAAGATACTTATTTAAAATAAAGTAGTCAATTTTCATAATATTGTGCATTAGAATTCGACTTAGTATTGAACTTTAGATATTCAACACTTAAAGTTAAATAAAATTGTCAGTCATGAATATTTATTTATAAGAATGACAGTAGAAACGGAATGATTACAGTAAGTAAATACTGTGATGATGTAATTATGAAATTCGAAATTTCGTCGACTGTATATTGTGCTGAATTGTACAATTTTGGCATGTTGGACTTGGCAGGGATTGTATATTTAATAAAGTTGGTATTAAATGTGTTTGTTTTTTTTTTTTGTAATTATGGTGGTGGGGTTTTAAGTGAAGCCAGACGCATTTATTTGTATAGAATCTAGAGTTTTTTTAAGGGGGAAAATCTTCGAATAACTGCTCCCGCCTGGGTGAGGCGGGAGGGAGTGTCAGACTCTTACTGACTAAAAACCACCCCGTTCCTTCTCCTGCACGTCGAGCCGGAGCCCCGGTACACGTTAGGTTCTCTGCGACATAGAATCTAGAGTACGAGAAGTAATTCTTAGATATACAATTAGAGAAAAAATATCTGTGTACCAATTTCCTTTTAGCAATACCAATAGTATTATTGGTTCATGCAGAAATGGTAAGGATCCTGTAAGGATTCTATTGGTAAAGACATTTTTTAACTATGATTTAGTAATACTAGTGTTGGATATTAAAGATTCCAATCATGCGACGTAAGTTAGTTCCCTACCTTGACATTAAGTAATATGGCTGCACATTTGTTACATTCCAAAAAAATATTTTATGCAATAAGAATTTCATTTTTGCATTAATTGTTTCGAGACATTTAGGTCATCATTTAATTTCCCTTTCACGCCATACAAATATCATACCATACATCCAGTTACCTTCCACTCCTCAAATCCATAAATAACATTTTCAAATAATTTATTTTATAAACAAATGTTTAAAAAACCGACGTCAACCCCCTCTTTTTTAAATCTGTTAATTAACTCGTCAAGTACCGTCATTATAGACACAATTATAGAACAATAGGTTGCGGTTACCGGTGACCGCTTGGTGTTTGACAGTTTAATATACTAAATCGGTTCAGCCAATCTCGAGATAATTATACACAAATATACTTACATACAGGTCCATCTGCAAACGTTATTTTTTTTAAGTTTTTAAATAGAGCGTTTGGCTTCACTTTCTAGATAAAATTGTACATAATTGGCTACTTGCCTTAATCAAAAATAAATTATTTCGACTGTTACATACAATAAAATGTGAAAAAAATAATCACACTTTCATTAATTGATTTTATGACAAACTTATTTTAGTTTTGTTACCAGCATTTTTTAAAGAAATGAGTATGCTGTTTGACGCTAAAAAACGTGACGTCACAATACACAATCTCGTACAAAATTCATAGAAAATTGTCGTTTTTGACCGTTCGAAAAAAAGTAGATATTGAATTTGACTCGTTGGCAAGTAACCAATTACGTTGATATAGAGAATTGTACATAAATGTACAGAATTAACTCCATGATAGCAGTAAAGCTGTTCCACTGTATATATTGCTTCACCTCCACAAACACTAAGGATTTGTAAGTATAAAACAATAAAGGTGAGAGGTGATGGGTTATTGTGTGGTATATTAGGGTATGACTGCTTCGTTGGCCGAGTGGTTGCAAGTGACTGGTAAAGTATTACTGGGTTTTTAAAAATTCTCAGTAGTAGCACGCAGCCTGATATTGTGCCCGGTATACGGCAATAGGCTCACACCCTATTACATGAGACTCATAATATAAATAGTGAAAAGTGGGTGTTATATTGTACAGTGGCATTAAGTGCCGTATTGTGCACCTCTGTCTACCCCTTCGGTGATAAAAGACGTGATGTTATGTGATGGGTTATTTTTTACGAAAGTATCAAAAAGCCTTGGTCGAGAACTGGTCTGGCAAATTATTTAACCTTGAGTTAATTTTTCATATAATATAATACTGGTTTTAAGCTTTAAGTTTGTAGACAGTAATGTTTTAAATCTGTGACACGGCTTCTAGTTATTATTACAAAATATAAAAGTTGAAATAGTTTTAATACAGGATTTCAATAGGGTAGATGCCTAATTTTTATTCTAAATCATTACACACGTATTTTTTATTTTCTTACAGAAACTAATACTTTCCACGATATATTGATTGGAAATGTCGCGTGACGTCACTTCTATGTATATTTTATACGTAGAAATGACGTTTTAGCCCCCACTCCTAAACTTTGATTCGTTTTATCTAAGTCTTATTTTATTATACGACAAAATAAAAAAATACGTGTCTAATATGTTTTCATTTCCTACCTTTCGAACTAATTATATTTAGATTTTTCATACCCTGTCATCATCCCAATTGCTTTGGGTTAGATTCGATGCCTAAATAGCAATGTTTTATGCTTAAAAACGATATTATTACGATTCTGTGTAGCGTCATACATACTGAGTAAAAAAGTAATGTTCTAAAATTCATATTGTACGCGGACAAAGACGCGGGCAACAGCTAATAAAATATATAGATAATGTAGTATTTTTTTGGTAACAAAACTGCAATGACTTAAAAACCCAAATAGTAGTTTGAATGAAACCCATAAAACTCCATTATATAAATTATTATGTTTTCGGTTTAATCACGTAGTAATTCGACGAGGAACTCGACTAGTTTCAAGCCATGCTAGAGGCTCATATTCATGAGCAGCATTTCGCGACCCGCGATGCGGCGACTGTCGCGCTGCTACTGATTTAGTATGTCTGTGTAGTTGTTAGTATGTGAATACATACTATTTAGTATGTCTCACGAAAGTTACAATACAACTCCATTATACTTTAGGAAATATTGAATTTGAATCATTCATTAACTAAAAATAACGATTTATGCACGTAAATATACTGAGTATAGCTCTACTGGTTTCGTGTGACAGAGGGGCTCTTCCTCATAAGCAGCGTGCGCGGGCGAGGCGCCGTCGTACAGTTTACTGCTCATGAGGAAGAGTCCCTCTGTGACTCGAAAGTAGTTGATAGACTTTTCTCAGCATAATTATGAAAGAGTTAATTCAACATATCTTACGATAGTTATTATAAAAATATTCAATCTGCTAAAAGTAA